TAGTCAATCGGGAACCCTCGGCACTTTCCGCAAACGAGAAAATATTTTCTCGCTTGCGGAAAGTGCCCAGGTTTCCCGATTTCTGTAATAGTGTCTTTTCCATTTTCTAGTTTAGTATTTGACCTCAAAAGGGATGACAAAAGTGGTCTACCATTTTGAGTTTCATTTTAAAAGTAACATGGCTATAAATATATATATAAAAATATATGACTATTATTTAGTAACGTTTCCTTTCACCGGTAGGCTCTGAATGTGTAGTATTCATTTTTATTTTTCGTATCATCGTCTTATCGTTTCAAACTCTCAATGAGTGGATTCTAATTCACAGGATCATTGTTAAAATCTATACTATGGTATGGTATGGTCTGATAGCTTTCCTTAAAAGACATACCATTAATTGGCTGATCAAAACTTTAAAATGAAATAAAAATGTTACTAGCAAGTCCCGAAACACAAAACGCCGACAACAGTTACAATTAAAATTTTGACAAATGTATTTTAGAACATGATATTACATGTTTTTTTAGGATTAAAGGTTTGTAGTTTTGTTCAAGCCTATTTATTTTCCTGTAACAACTCTGCGACGTCTAAATGCTCGATTCTAACCACAATTACACGTTACTCTGAACTGAACGAAAGGAGAGCCGTAATTTGTTTCTAGTCAGTCAATGATAGTAACTAAAAGCGTTGTGAAGTGTACTGCTAGTGGCTGAGGTTGTTTTCAGCATTTCTAGCTGTTTGTTCACGTATTTTCTAAGACGGGATAACAGGAGTAATAATATTAATATCTCAATTCCAACAACGAGGATTCCTATACACACTTTGAGCACATGACGTGTTCCGTCACCACTTGTGATACACAATTCAGACTGTGCGTCATATACAGGCCTCCCCCCTTCTAAACGGAACGGTCTCCGTAACAAAGTCTTCTTTGATGAATGGTCTTCATATCTCGATCAACAGGTTGTAGCGCCACAGGAGCTGATTATCGCTGGCGACCTGAATTTCCACTTGGATGATAACACTAATGTTGATTCCCGACAGTTCGCCGGAATCTTTGACTCCCGGGGGATGATACAACGTGACAGAAGCTACCTATTCACATGGTCATACACTAGATGTGATTATCACAAGGGGAAATACTTCTCTAATCCACGGAGCAATTCTAGTGGCAGATCCATGTCTGAGCGACACTAAGGGAAACCTATCTGGTGATCATCTTGCTGTCTATGCCACACTAAATTGTGGTAAACCAAAACGTGCCAGAAAAGAGGTCAGCTTCCGGAAATTCCGCGAAATTTCTGTACCTGATTTCATCAAAGACATTCAGTCATCTTCAGTCCCTCAGACTACTGAGGGTGGAGTTGACTGTCTTGTTGAAGCATATAACTCTGGTATCGAGGCTCTGATCGAGAAACATGCACCTCTTCAGACAAAGGTAATTACTGTCAGACCTAACGCGTCTTGGTACAATGAACAACTTCGTGATGCAAAACAATTGCGGAGGAAGGCGAAGAAACGTTGGCGAAAGACCAAACTAACCATCCATCGCCAGATATACAGAGAACACTGTCGGGCAGTCAGTTCACTACTCATTCAACGTAAGAAGGATTATTATTCAGGAAAAATCACAGAATGTGGATCGGATACAAGACAGCAATTTAGACTCGCCAAAAACCTTATGGGACATAATGGTGAAATCGCCCTACCAAGCTGTTCTTCTGAAAAAATCTTGTCCAACAAGTTCAGTGATTTTTTCCAGGATAAAATCAATACAATCAGGCAAAAGATTGATGTTGTGAACTCAACTTCCGACACTGGCATCTCTGCCATGGATGCCGATATCCAATTCTCTGGTGAACCTTTGACGCAGTTCACTCCAACAACTGAAGAAGAATTGTGCAAGATCATTACAAACTCTCAATCGAAATCCTGTGCGCTGGACCCGCTTCCCACAGTTTTACTGAAGCAATGTCTTGATGCACTGCTCCCCTTGATCACCTTAATCATGAATAAATCATTAGCAGAGTCTAGGGTTCCATTGTGTTTCAAGAAGGCTAATGTAAGACCACTGCTGAAGACGCCTGGACTGAACAAGGAAGAATTAAAGAACTACCGTCCGGTGTCAAATCTCCCTTTCTTATCTAAGATCTTGGAGAAGATTGTGTCCCAGCGACTTGAGGCTCATCTCAATGCTAACAGTCTTCATGACAACTTGCAATCAGCCTATCGCACAGGACATTCCACTGAGACGGCCCTACTTCGTGTCTACAATGATATTGCTGCCGCTCTGGATAACAAGTGTAGAGCGGTTCTTATCATGCTTGATCTGTCTGCTGCATTTGATGTCATTGACCATGGCACACTGTTCAAGCGTCTGGAGTACTCTTATGGGGTGACTGGTGATGCATTACGCTGGACCCAGTCTTACTTGAATGAACGACGACAGTGCGTTGCCATTGGATCAACTGTTTCAGACAGCAAAACCTTAAACTTCGGAGTTCCTCATGGGTCCGTTCTGGGACCTAAAAAATACAGTCTTTATTCGAAACCAATCGTCGGAGAGATTTGTCGTCGTCATAACCTTCAGGACCATTGTTATGCCGACGACACAAAAATCTACATGGTTATCAAACCTCAAGACAACTGGGACATAATAGTAGCAAGTCTTGAAGCCTGTCTAAATGACATCAGTGCTTGGATGAACTCAAATAGGCTCAAGCTCAATCAGGAAAAGACAGAACTGATCGTCTTTTCCCACAAGTGTCAACACACTAACGGTCTCCAGTCACAGTACAAGATTTTGATGTATACATACAAGGCAATAAATGGAACATCTCCTGAATATTTGCAGGAACTTGTCACCGTTTATCTGCCGTCACGATCACTACGATCGGAGACAGAATCCTTGTTGTGCGTTCCAAACTCTCGGACTGTGACTTATGGTAACCGGTGCTTTGGAAAGGTAGCGGCCACTTTGTAGAACAGCTTACCATCTGCTACTAGAAAGTCAAAATCCCTGGCCAAATTCAAGAGGGATATTAAAACCCACCTGTTTACGTCTGCATTTTAGACTCTCACGCAGACGTCCTGTATATACATACTTTCACCACTACTTACTTGATTTGGTTACTGTGTTACATATGTTGATTACTGTGTTATACATGTTCTATAAATTTTGTAGTCAGATTATTATGTAATTGTGACGCGCATTAGAGTATTTTGTCAAAATAGATAGTGCGCTATATAAATGTTGTATATTATTATTATAGAGAACACTAATCATCGTACCAAACTGACAAAACATGAAACCGCACCCATTTTATACCTGTTCTAAATATGCCTGTAATTTGGTAATTTTGCTTGTGAAAATATAATAGATAGTGAAAAGAATATTCAATAATTTCTCCAGTAATAACAAATATATATCACTCGTGAGTCAAATATTTTTTTGTATCTTTCACGTGCGCTATATTAGACACCTGTGAGATATATTTGTTATAACTGGAAAAACTATTAAATATCCTCTCTCTAAATATATATCACTCGCAATTTTGTTTGAAATTAAATAAGTTTTGATTGGTAGGGCAAGAAGAATGCGCACCAATTTCTATTTAGCTTTCCTGGTCATTAGAGATGAAACCTCGCATTTGACTTTAAGATATTTCTGTCCTAATTTTTCATAGGAACAATTAACTGGATCCCATCACAAAACGAATTTATGTGGTGATTCAAGTCCTCTGTGTATTTCTATTGTCTTGTGAATTCTTGGTTTGGGAAAATCACATACTTGTATGTCGCTTATCTTTCTTATCTAGGTTTGTTTAAGTATCTAATTTGCTTTGATATGTAATATGTAACCTTATGTTGATCATTGTACTGTCATCACGGTAGCGATACAAGCACACTTTCCTTTATAAGTTGATAACAATATTAAACATAAAGAGTGTCATTTTTTTATATGAGTTGTAAGCTAAAAAAATATAAATAAAATAAAGATTTATACATAAAACATCTTTTGTACTTTTCATTATTTTGTCTTAGTGAAATTTATTGAAACAGGATACCAATCACAAATGGATTAAACACGATTAATTTATTTTCAAAAGGTGTCATCCACGTTTTTCTTTTGTACAACTTTATTGTAATGGAGAATAAGGAAATATAGCTTATAATGCTTTAATTGCCATAGAGAAAATACTGACCTTACGTGTATCATATGGAATGTCAGGACTACCTGTTGTTATGCAGATCACTCGTGAAAGATTATTAAGATACATACATGGAAAACTTGTGCCAGTATTTTACAAAAACAGCAGTATATTGATATAGACGTCTTAAATGTAATGATATATCAAAGTAAAGATTATATAAAATTTGAGATTAATATCATAAATAATTGTATAAAACATTTTTGTTTCACTTTTGAAACAATTTGTATGATACATGTAATTAACGATTCTGAAGCGATTTTGTTTATACTATATTAATAACACCATACTTTCCAATACTTTCTAGAAAAAGTCTTCTATATCTTTACTATACAAAAGTTCCCTTTCGAGTTCATTCTTAGACTGGTGTTTTCTCTTATCTTAGTCACACCAGTCACGTGATTTTTGATATCTCTAAAGGTGTTGGTACTCATGACCTGTATAATTGATAGTCATGACTGAAAGACATTTATAGAGTGAAGGTTACTCAGAACAAATAAGAATCATAACAAATCAGTGGTAACGATTTTTCGTGTAAATTTCACATATTACCAAGGTCTGGAAAAATTCTGTGTCTGTTATACTGACAATGCAGTACAGGTCATCTTCTCAAGTCCCACTCTCGTGATTCCATCCTGTGTGATGGGAGAATTCCTGCTATGTGGTATTATTGAATAAACTGGAAAATATGTACGAGGCTTAAAATATCACATCTGGAATAAGAAAATGAGTACATAATTACACAAATGTTTTACATCCTACAGGCAGAATATTACTCACAATGAAATAATGGGGCTGGTTGACCTCACCTTTCAAAACCTCGATTCCAACCACGATAGCTTTCTGGAATTGTCTGAACTGTATGATGTCTACGACAAAATCGACGCTAATGGTAAATATCTTGGAATTTTAGCCTATTCCTTAATTACACGCATTTGTTGCATTCATTAAGAACTTTTCGACAAGAACAGTGTACAGATTTGTCCTTAAAATTACCAAATATAATTTGCAGAAACATATGCAACTGATGGTAGAATGAAACCTATGTTTATAATTGCACCGTACTTACTTTAACTTCAGTCCATTTTCAATTGTTGACTACTCCGTCAGTTCCAGTTGGTTTGTTAACAAAGCAGCCACGTCATAATGCATTGTCGCCTCCTCATTTAGTTCCTGTTCTTTTGTCGTTTCATCATTCAGGTTTTGTTGCTTTGTAAATGAGTTCCTGCTGTTTTGTTGACGAAATCAGTCAGTTCCAGTTGATTTCTTGTCTTAGCAATCAGTTCACGTCCTTTGTTGGCTAATAAGTCATTTTTGTTAATAGGTGACAAATCAATCAGGTACTGTTGTTTTGTAGACTAATCAGTCAGGTCCTGTTGTTTTGTAGACTAATGAGTCAGTTCATGTTGTTTTGTAGACTATTCCGTCAGTTCATGTTGTTTTGTAGACTAATGAGTCAGTTCATGTTGTTTTGTAGACTATTCCGTCCGTTCATGTTGTTTTGTAGACTATTCCGTCCGTTCATGTTGTTTTGTAAATTAATGAGGCAGTTCATGTTGTTTTGTAAATTAATGAGTCAGTTCATGTTGTTTTGTAGACTAATGAGGCAGTTCATGTTGTTTTGTAAATTAATGAGTCAGTTCATGTTGTTTTGTAGACTAATGAGTCAGTTCATGTTGTTTTGTAGACTATCCCGTCAGTTCATGTTGTTTTGTAGACTAATGAGTCAGTTCATGTTGTTTTGTAGACTATCCCGTCAGTTCATGTTGTTTTGTAAATTAATGAGTCAGTTCATGTTGTGTTGTATACTATCCCGTCAGTTCATGCTGTTTTGTAGACTATCCCGCCAGTTCATGTTGTTTTGAAGACTATTCCGTCAGTTCATGTTGTGTTGTAGACTATCCCGTCAGTTCATGTTATTTTGTAGATAAATAAGACAGTTCCCGTTGTTCGTAGACAAATCAGTCAGTTGCTGTCTTTCTTTAGACAAACCAGTCAGTTCCTGTCATTCTGTAGACAAACCAGTCAGTTCCCGTCATTCTGTAGACAAATCAGTCAGTTCCTGTCTTTCTTTAGACAAATCAGTCAGTTCCTGTCTTTCTTTAGACAAATCAGTCAGTTCCTGTCATTCTGTAGACAAACCAGTCAGCTCCTGTCTTTCTTTAGACAAATCAGTCAGTTCCTGTCATTCTTTAGACAAATCAGTCAGCTCCTGTCTTTCTTTAGACAAATCAGACAGTTCCCGTCCTTAATTAGACAAATCAGACAGTTCCCGTCCTTAATTAGACAAATCAGTCAGTTCCTGTCCTTAATTAGACAAATCAGTCAGTTCCTGTCCTTAATTAGACAAATCAGTCAGTTCCTGTCCTTAATTAGACAAATCAGTCAGTTCCTGTCATTCTGTAGACAAACCAGTCAGCTCCTGTCTTTCTTTAGACAAATCAGTCAGTTCCTGTCATTCTTTAGACAAATCAGTCAGCTCCTGTCTTTCTTTAGACAAATCAGACAGTTCCCGTCCTTAATTAGACAAATCAGTCAGTTCCTGTCCTTAATTAGACAAATCAGTCAGTTCCTGTCCTTAATTAGACAAATCAGTCAGTTCCGGTTATTCTTTAGACAAATCAGTCAGTTCCTGTCATTCTGTAGACAAACCAGTCAGTTCCGGTTATTCTTTAGACAAATCAGTCAGTTCCTGTCCTTAATTAGACAAATCAGTCAGTTCCTGTCTTTCTTAAGACAAATCAGTCGGTTCCGGTTATTCTTTAGATAAATCAGACAGTTCCCGTTGTTTTGTAGACAAAGCAGTCAGTTCTCGTTGTTTTGTAGACAAATCAGCCAGTTCCTGCCATGCTGTAGACAAACCAGTTAGTTCCTGTCATTCTGTAGACAAACCAGTCAGTTCCGGTTATTCTTTAGACAAATCAGTCAGTTCCTGTCCTTGATTAGACAAATCAGTCAGTTCCTGTCTTTCTTTAGACAAATCAGTCGGTTCCGGTTATTCTTTAGATAAATCAGACAGTTCCCGTTGTTTTGTAGACAAAGCAGTCAGTTCCTGCCATGCTGTAGACAAACCAGTTAGTTCCTGTCATTCTTTGGACAAATCAGTCAGTTCCGGTTATTCTTTAGACAAATCAGTCAGTTCCTGTCCTTAATTAGACAAATCAGTCGGTTCCGGTTATTCTTTAGATAAATCAGACAGTTCCCGTTGTTTTGTAGACAAAGCAGTCAGTTCCTGCCATGCTGTAGACAAACCAGTTAGTTCCTGTCATTCTTTGGACAAATCAGTCAGTTCCGGTTATTCTTTAGACAAATCAGTCAGTTCCTGTCCTTAATTAGACAAATCAGTCAGTTCCTGTCTTTCTTTAGACAAACCAGTTAGTTCCTGTCATTCTGTAGACAAACCAGTCAGTTCCGGTTATTCTTTAGACAAATCAGTCAGTTCCTGTCCTTAATTAGACAAATCAGTCAGTTCCTGTCTTTCTTTAGACAAATCAGTCAGTTCCCGTCATTCTGTAGACAAATCAGTCAGTTCCGGTTATTCTTTAGACAAATCAGTCAGTTCCTGTCATTCTTTAGACAAATCAGTCAGTTCCCGTCATTCTGTAGACAAACCAGTTAGTTCCTGTCATTCTGTAGACAAACCAGTCAGTTCCGGTTATTCTGTAGACAAACCAGTTAGTTCCTTGTTGTTTTACATTGACTAATCACTCCATTCCTTCTTCCAATTCCTTTTGTATTTTTGTCTCTGTAGCCAGAAGACATTTCTTTTCAAATCACCCACGACCGTGCCCGAACCATTTGATTTTGATATTATGTTGGAACCTCAATGTTTACTCAAATAATTCCAATGTTTTAGTTTGGTTTTCTATTGAAGGATATTTAATCAAATCAGTATTCAAATGATTTGACCTCATGTTACAATGTATTTGTTAAATCATTTATTTGTTTTATTTACCAGATGACGGTGTCGTGAGTGAATATGAATATACATATAGAGCCACGGAACAACACAGGTTTTTTTCAATTATATTTCAAGAGCTGGACTATGATGGGGACGGTTATTTGGACAGAGGTGCCGAGGCCGGCCAGTACATCATGATGGACACGAACAGTAGGAACATTTGATAATCTTGATTAAGTATTCGTACAATATGCTCCGATTAAAGTTTTATAAAACAGATCTGTATGGTAACCCCATTTGCCAATGTTTTATGTTTTGCTCATGTTTATAATCATTTTATCATGAATGAATCTCTGTGAGATATAGCGAACAATTATCATTAAGGTACAGTTATATAAAAAAGTAATACTACAATAGACTAATAATATATTCATTAATAATACGGTAGCGACAATATTAAAAAATATCGTAACGAAGTTGTAATGATAAAACAAGACCGTACCGACAAAGTAATGATAACAACAATACACTAGTAATTATTATATTGATAATTGATATGTTGATTGTGTATGTATTTCAGCTGATAACGAAGTTAGCAGAAGAGAATATGATACTTACTACACAAAAGTAAGTAGCAAACTGGACTGGGGAAAAATATCTACAGAAACAGTAACGCTGGTTAAAATATTTATTTGAGTGCACAGGACGATTCGTAATACCAACAGATCAGCTTTCTACTGAAAACATTATCAAATATTCTGTTTAGTCCATTTTGTTTTTGTATACCTTACATATATCACCAGATTCTCTAAACAGTGCAGAGAAAAATATCATTATAAAATCTTTCATTTTTTTTTTGTGACGAACATCATTTGACTAAATCATGAAAGTATTGTATAGATTATGTATGTTCGGCATTTGGACAATGGGTAAAATATGGTATAAGCATATTAAATAAAATGATACGTACAACGCGGAAAGAAATATTATCTCTTGAAATCTCATACGAATTTATCCTTAAAGGGACCAGAACGTTTTTTTTCAGACTGACTTATTAATGGTACATGCTTCTCATTTACATCAACAATGGACATATACTGTATACTAAAATAGCTTATCTAATCGACTTCTTAATTTTTGTTCAATCCATAATAACTAAAATGCTAGAATAAGTCATTATTTAAATTCATTTTCTCCAACAGGTTGTTGAAGACGCTATACAAAAATACGGCTACTTACTTGGACCTATCGGAGGTATCGGTAATAGTGGACCAGCCACAACCTAGGTTCAGACGAAATACTGGACCTTCAGTAGATCACCTGTTAATGTTTAAAAGATATCCTATTAGTTTTGCATTCCAAGCCCGTTTACTTATCTTTACAGTATAAGTACATTGAAATATGACATATAACTCAATGTAGTTAAAGCGATGATTGAAATACACATGAAAGCGAAAAGAAAACTAAAAGAAAACGAATTATTCAGGCGAAAAGAAGTCTACAACATTTAGCAGAATTGACTGAATAAATATTTTCAATACACATACAACATAGTCGTCTCTTTTTTCTTTCTCTCTTGTCAGAGGTTCGCTCTCGATGTCGCAAAAAGTTCTGTGTTTGTGGTTTCCAAACAGAAAGTTATTAAATGAACGGGTTGCATAAAATTAATAAAACATGTGACCAATTTGTCTAAAAGTACCATTGATGTTTTAATAAACAACTCTTTTGTCTGTATTTTTATCCTCCTCGATAACTAAGTTACATATGCTCTATACATATGCGCTGGAAAAACAAACCAACGATTTCAATAAAAATGATTTCAACAAGTCTACTAATTACTTGATTGGTACAAGCCGGTGTTTTGGTTGTGGTAAAACGTTTGTTCGAATTAAAACACCCTCGTATTTATGAAATGAACAAATATCAATCTTATTGATAATATTGAGGTTTTTTAATGTAAAACCAATTTTCATGATGTAATACTTACCATAACTTTAGTATGCAAATACAGTACCTACACCCATCTTTTTATCCCAACAACAAAAGATTCAAAAGAAAAACAATCCCGCCCTCCCTACGATCCATGAGCCATCACGGCAGGAACGCAGAGTGATCTCCCTTCCTCTAATAACCTTTATGGCGTAAACCCCACAGAGGGGCAGCCAGGCAGATAAGGAAGAGGGGAGGATAGGGTGGGACTCCATAAAGTTATGGTAAGTATTACATCATGAAAATTGGTTTTACATTAAAAAACCTCAATTTCATTTCAGTAATAATTACCATAACTTTAGTATGCGAATTCGTCTTACCGTAGTGGTGACTAGAAGCCAGGCAGCCCCTCCAGCACAACCAAAGTAGTAGGGAGGGAGAACAGAGTGCTAAAGTGAAGGAAGGGACCTCTCTGTGAAAGAGCAGGTGTACCCACATGCCGCCGTACGGAAAGACATGGCCCGGGGCTAACGAGGAGGCCCAGCCACTGACTATGCCACCACCAAAGGTCCCAATGAATACAGGCCTTCTGAGTGGGAAGCTAGGGATCACAGATAAAAATCTGTTAAGGTATCCCTGCCCTGCCAGAATACTGCAGACATGACCTCCTGAAAGGAGGACTCATTGAGAGAAGGGCCCAGGATGAAGCAAGGTCCCTGACCTCATGAGACCGCGCTTTCGCTCTCGCCCGAGCCAGATCATCAAAATGCTCGTAAGCATACTAAATCACCTGGCAAACCCACCTGGAAACCGACTGGGAGGAGATATCTCGTTGCCCCTGTTTAATGGGCAAAACAGACGGGATCGAGAGCCCCGCCCCCCTGGTTTTATCAAGATAAAACCTAAGAGCCCGACAAGGACAAAGCAACCTATCTCGCTCCTCCGAGCTAGTCACAGCCAGGATCCTGATGGGATCGTGCGAGAACCCCGGAACCTGATTCTTCGCTAAAAACAACTCTATTCATAGCAAAGCCTCTGATTAGGGCAGAAAGAGAGGAGGACTAACCGATCTCCTTCCTGCCATAACAAGCAAGAACTCTGGCAATAGCTGTACGATAGCCAGCAATAGTGCCAGGTGGCAGATAGCGGTACCTAAACAGAGAGATTAGGAATTCCGCAATCAAATGCAGAGGCTTCGAATGAATAAGCTTCCTTGCCGACACACCAATCACAGAAGATCATCCAACGTGACTGGTAGACGGCAGAAGAGGAAGCCCTGATTGATTGCTCAATGCAATCTGACACCTCTTGAGAAAAGCCTGCCTTGGCGTGGCTTCCAGAGATAGCCTCAGCGCGTGAAGGTGGAGGATCTCTGGTCAAGAGTGTGTCGTTCTGGGCCAAGGCTGGCGAAGGAGATTCGGTCTGGTGGGGAGAGCCAAGGGCTCCTCCACCAGAAACGACAAGAGCTCCTGAAACCAAGCTTGCCTCGGCCACAGAGGGGCTCTCAGAAGTAAGGAGCAGTGATGCTCCCAGAACTTCTGTAGAACCCTGCCCACCAGGTTGACGGGAGGGAATGCATATGCATACGCCCCTTCCTATTCCAGAGAAAGGGCGTCCACAGCCCACGCCTTTCGGTCTGGGACCGGGGAGACGAAGGTTAGCAGCTGGTTGTTCAGGGAAGTGGCAAACAGGTCTATAATAGGTCTGTCCCACGCCTGACAATTCCCCTTGAAAATCAAGGGACACAGCTGCCATTCCGTCAACACCGGCTGGTGGCGCCTGGAGAGTGGCCACCAACACACTCAGCCTGCCAGAAAGATGCTTGACCGCTATGGTCAACTGCATGTCCTGGCAGAGAAGATGGATGTGGATGGAGAGGGCACACAGGACATGAGACCTGGTGGCCCCTGTCTCTCCAGATACGCGACAACTGTTGTCGGTAGCCACACTTTGGACTGCAGGATACCCCTAAAGGACTGCAGAGCCAAATGAACAGTCTCATCTCGAGTACACTGATGTGCTCCGAGAGTTGTTCGCCAGACCACTCCCCCAAGCAGCATTGGCCATCGAGGTAAGCTCACATTCCTGTCATGAACGCGTCCATGAACAGGATCATAGAGGGGATAGGCTTGGTCAGAGGTACCCCGTGGAAAACGTTCTCCTGAATGGTCCACCAGCAAGAGAACTCCCTGACCGACTGGGTAAGCGGGATCCAGGCCTCCTGGATGACGGAACCCAGTCAGACAGGAGGAACATCTGGAGAGGTCCGATGTGAATCCTCCCTAGGGGGACCACATATGCCAAGGAGTTGAGATACCCCAGAAAACTGAGGAACCAATGTACCTGGACAAGCGACCAAGTGATGAAAGTCAGAGCCAGAGCCCTGACCTTCTCAAACTTCTCCAGAGGTGGAAGGGCTAAGCCCCGAACCATGTCAAAATGGTTCCCCAGGAAGAAGAAGTCCTAATATGAAGGAACCTCTGACTTCTCTCTGGAAGGAATGAAGCCGACTCTGAGCAAGAGTTTCAGGACCAGACGAGTGTCCTTCACTAACGATTCCCACACCAAAAGAGGCATGAGGGAGTCGTCGAAATAGATGTGGACGTCTATTCTGCAGGAGTGAAGGAAACACCAGCAGCAACTTGGTGAACACCAAAGGAGCTGTCGTGAGCCCCAAGGGCATCTCTGCCTTGGCAGCATGGTCCCTACTTCTTCCTGGAGCACCCGTGCCCTTTCTGAATCCCCGGGAGGAGGAAAGAAACAAAAACGGCCAGGAGGCGAAGGACGAATCCTGAAGAAGGGGAATACCTAGACCCTCCCTGACCACCGACAAAAGCCCAAGCATCCTCTGTAACATCCTGCCACTAGGAAAGGAAAGCAGAGAGACGTCCGCCCACAGGGAGTTCCGGATGGGGCAGATCGAGCCCCTGCCAGACCAGAGAATCGTCTGCCCACCCGGAGCCTGAGCCTGCAGGAGAAGGACATGAGCCCGGGAAAGGAGAACCACCGTCCACCCGGCCATACCCTTCGCCTTTCGCGGCCAAGAAGCAGAAATAGTCAGGAACCCTTCTTCTTGCCCCCAGGAGGTTTCTTACCCTTCCTACCATTCCCCTTGTTGCCGTTGAAGTGAGGTTGGGACTTGGGCTGTGCAGAAAACTGAGCAGCCGAAGACTTCGCCTTCTTCTTAGGAGGCACTGACCCCTGCGAGGCACTGGCCTTCTCAGCCTGAAACCTCTTCACCAGAAGTGCTGAGGCGACCGAGTCCTCCTTCATATCCTTCTGAACCCAAGGAAGAGCTCCCCTGAACAGGGTAGAGCCCTAGAAGGGGGCATTCAACAAGCGGAAACGGTAGGGTTACTGGACTGGGCGGAATTTCAGAACTGAAAACTGCCTAGCCAACACGGCATTGACGAGCAGAGAACCTGCAAGGCTGCCGTGTCCTGTATGTCGGCTGTTCTGTCTCGGATAACCGACACTCAGGCAAATCGGATACCCTGTATAGACAAACTGTCAGGAAGTCTATGTATGACAGAACTTGGATGGAGAGGTGCAACATTCTCTCCATCCTGTGGTGCTCTTTGGGATCGAGCACCACCTGGTCCACTGATTTGCCGGGCCAGGCAGCCAGCTGTCTCAACTCCAGCTGTGCTGGTTGAGAGGCCAGCTGCCCATCATGTGTGGCATAGTCGGAAGCTGAAGCCTCCGACAATTCACCAACACTGAGCTGCAGACCGACAAACCCGGGAGCACGGGTAGAGAAGGAGTCCTTCTCTAAAACCGGAGCCCGGGCCGTGGCCAGAACCGAAGACATGATATTGCCTTCTGGCAGAGACCGATCTGAGCGAACGGAAGCCCGAGGAGCCACCAGGGAACCCAGAAGGATGGTGGATTCAGGCGCCGACGATGCTGAGGCGGTGGGCAAACCTCCGCCCTGAGAATCCGGGAGATGTTGGCCCGGAGGACCCGCATCCCAGAAAGCACATGCTGAGCCTCAGCTTCAGCAGTCTCAGGGCCATCTTCCCCTTGTGAACCCTCTTGGCCCAGGAGAAAGATGAATGACATCGTCTTCCTCTGCCGAGCCCGCACCCTCGATGTCCATCTCCTCCTCAATAGAGACCGAAGTCCCCTTGGGAGGAACAGGGGCCGCCAGAGGAGCCATCTCCGCAGAGGGGAACTCCTCTTTATGGCATTTGGACGCAGCGCGACCAACAGCTGTAGCTGTAGGCTTGGGTCGGAGACCCGAAGCCGACCCCTGGGAACAGGAGACCGACGGGTCCGCGCTGGAGGCGGAAGTCCTTAAGGTCTGGCAAACCTTTATAGGACCGGCCAACAAAGCCCCCGAAGTAGCAGAACATTG